AAAGGAAACTCATTTAAAAAGTTGACGAATAAACACATCAAAAGCATATGGCTGTACACATGCCAGAATCTGATCAAATTAACAGTTTAAAGAATTCATTGAAACTTACAATAAACTTACAGAAACTTGCTTTTTGAACTGTGTTAAAGACTTTACAACAAAAGAAGTAAAACCTGAAGAGATCATCTGTTCAGAACATTACTTAGAAAAATATTTTTAAATGACATAAAACTGAGAGCCACAATAGTTTTGTACATATGATTACATCAAATGATGCTTATGGAAATGAACTCCAAGAAATGGAAACAAGAGGGTTTTTTTTTATTTCACTTGTTTTTTCCTTTTTCTTTTTCTGTGTTTCTCCTTTTGTCACTTTTTTATTTATTTACCTTTTGTCTTGTATATAAGTTTATGTGATTTGGGCAAGATTAGGGGAAGCACAGGGACAGTGTCCTAACCCCAGACCCTGAGTTCAAGCTCGAGAACCAGCCAGTACAGACATACACTATCTAATATTAAGCAGAATAAATCCTAGCAGCCAAAGCAGGACTCCTAGTCCAATCATGGTAGAGAAGATTGCCAAAGATTTGTCTGAAGAATCCCCTCAAAGTAATATACACCATATTAATCAGCCTCTTGTCATGTTGCTTGGCAAATGGAAACTACTAGAGAAACAAAAGCACTGCTCCCCAGGAGTAATCAAAATAGATGGTCATTGTTCAGTGAAAATTGTAAGATAAAGTATTTATTGAGGTCTTAAGATCCAGCAACTTAGTCACTTTGATCAGAAAAATAAAACATTGTTTCTTCATTTGTGACTGCAAATTTTAAAGCAAAATGTGTGTCCAATGTATGAGATAGAAAAAAATGTGTTTAAGTAAAACAAATGTATCAAAACATTTAAGTATCACTTTTCACACAACTGAGAATCACTTATGTGCCAGACACTGAAAATTGGGCAATGAACAGAAAATACCCTTAATTAATGTAGAGTATTATGTGTGTTGTTCTACTTGTTGACATAGTTTATAGAGATAATTAGCTGCAAGAACTCAGCATTGTTTACTAGAGCCAATTGTGTTGAATTCTACTGATTAATTTTTTACAAAAATGATTGTGCTCAACTTTGCTGCTTAACTGTGGTTAAACGTAGAAATTTAATTTCTGAGTTTAATAGTCCTTAAACTATAAAAATAACAATACCATTCTTGCAATGCCTTTGTGAATGTGAAGTGCTTGACTCACTTTCTGGTGTGTATCCTGTGTTGTAATCTGTGGTGAACTTACCGGTGCTGTTTTTCTTGTCTACTCTTCTCAAGGTTTTGGAGTTTTCTTTGTTGTTTTTGTTATAAAATACTCTTGCTTAGCTCTTTCAATCAGGGTTGGCACTCTACCACTTGAACCATATCTTCACTTCCTTTATATATTTTTTTGTTTGGTTTGGTTTGGTTTGGTTAGAGGTCTGGAGTTTGAAATCAGGGCCTCATGATTAGTAAGGAGGTGCTTTAAAGTCATGCCTCTAGCCTTATTGTCTGCTCTTCTTACTGAAGCTTGATATGATTCTGAGATTTTGATTTGATGATTGTGTGTGTGTGTGTGTGTGTGTGTGTGTGTGTGTGTGTGTTGGTGCTGAGGATTGAAGTCCTATACTCTTGCCTGGCTTTTTTTCTCCCCACTCATAGCAGGCATTCTGCCCCACTTGAGTAACACTTCTTTTTCTTTTTGTGCTAGTCCTGGGGTTAGAACTCAGGGCCTGGGTGCTGTCCCTTATCATTTGTGCTCAAGGCTAGTGCTCTACCACTTTGAACAATAGTTTCATTTCTGGCTTTCTGATAGTTAATTAAAGATAAGAATCTCACTGATTCAAAGCAAGCTTTGAACTGCAGTCTTCAGATCTACGTCTCCCAGGTAGATAGTATTATAGGCTTGAGCACTGGTGCCTGGCCTTGAGTTAACACTTCTACTTCCAGCTTTTTGCTACCTAGTTTTAAGAATTTTGCCTGCCTGGGATAGTTTCAAACCTTCATCCTCAGATTTCAGTCTGAGTAGCTAGCATTACAAGTGTGAGCTAATCTGGTTGATTTGGTCATCTCTGTTCCCCTTTTTATTTTATTTTATTTTATTTGGTTGTTTTTTTTTGGGGGGGGGGTCCAGTCGTAGAGCCTGAACTCTGGGCCTGGGCACTGTCCCTCAGCTCTTCAGCTCAAGGCTAGTGCTCTACCTCTTGAGCCACAGCGCCACTTCCGGCTTTTTTCTTTTTGCTTATGTGGTGCTGAGGAATTGAGCCCAGGGCCTCATGCATGCAAGGCAAGCGCTCTACCACTGAGCCACCTTCCCAGCCCATCCCATCACAACATTTTAAAGCCCTTTTTTAAAGGGGATTTTCTAGTGAAATACAAATAACTTTTTAGCTGTATAAATCTGACTTGCCATCAGTTTGGTAAATTCAGTTCCTTAGATTTGAGTAATCCCTAGCCCCATAGTACTAGATTGATACATCGTCCTCCTAATATATCTTTTATTATTACAAATACTAGTACTTGAATCAAAACTGTGTCTTTTAGATTGTTTTAGTATAAGAAATAAACATTGCATATTTTCTAACATCTGAATTAATCTGTATATTCACTTGGCTTTTCCTGCGGATTTATTGTTGAAGCTGGACAGCCTGTCTTCATACTAATTACTTGAGCTGAAATGATGAAGACTGTGTATAGCCATTTCTAGCCTCAAATATGGAAAAACAGAAAAAAGAAGCCAGGTGCTTGTAGCTCATGCCTATAATCCTAGTTATTCAGGAGACTGAGATCTGAGGATCAGAGCTCTAAGCCCATTGGTGCAGACAAATCTGAGAGTCTCTTACCTCCAATTAACCAGCAGAAAACCCCAAGCGGAGGTGTGAAGCACCAGCCTTGAGTGAAAACTAACAGAGAATATGAGGCCTCAGTACTAGCATGCGTGCATGCACACTCACACACACACACAGTCAACAGAGAGAAAATGATGTGTATTAAAAAAGAATAAAGAATTTGCCTTGTTGTATAAGGTTACACAGATTTATTTTTTTCTTAAAAACATAAGGACCTTGACTGAAAACACTTTTAAATAAAAAAGATGGGTGGATATGGATATCCACAAGTGATTAATCTTTCCTTCAGCTATACACAAATAGACATAGGCCTAAATATAAGAGCTAAAAATTGTATAAAACTTAAAACAAGAGTAAATCTTAGTGACTTTGGAATTAGGGAAAAGTTTCTAGTGAAGACAGCTCACAGATGGGAAGAAAATATTTACATATAATCAAAGATGAGCTAATTTTCCAATGGCCAAATAATAGATTGTTTTCAAAGGAGTACGTACAGGTGGTTAATAAACACATGAATGTTTACTGTTACTAGCCGTCAGTAAAATACAACTCACAATGAGCTATCACTTTATAATCATTAGAATGGCTGTAACTGAACAGATCAATAATACTGTTGACAAGGCTATAAAGAATTTGGAACCTATACACACTGTTGGAAGGGTTGCAAAATGGTACAGTTACTCTGGAAAACAGTTTGATTGTGCTTCAAATGTTAAACATTGCATCATTGTAAGGCTTAGTAATTCTACCTCTGGGAACGTAACTTTGAGGAAACATTTCTACACAAAAGATGGAGCAGAAGTGTCAAAGCATTATTGTTCATATTGGCCAAAAAGTGGAAACAACCCAAGTGTACCCCAGTTGATAAGTGGATCAATGTCAGGAATACTTTGTGGAAAGTGTATTTGTTAGACAACTTCACAAGTTGACAACTTGTCTAACAAATACACTTTCCAGGGCTGGGAAGGTGGCTCAGTGGTAGAGTACTTGCCTTGCATGCATGAAGCCCTGGGTTTGATTCCTCAGCACCACATAAGCAAAAAGAAAAAAGCCAGAAGTGGCACTGTGGCTCAAGTGGTAGAGTGCTAGCCTTGAGCTGAAGAGCTGAGGGATAGCGCCCAGGCCCAGAGTTCAGGCCCCATGACCAGACCCCCCCCCAAAAAAAAAAATTCAGACTTTTCTGCCTGAGCTTGGCTTTGAACTATAATCCTCAGCCTCTTAAGTAGTTAGGATTACAGGCTTGAGCCTCCAGTGCCCAATAGATAACATTATTTGAAGAAACCAAAATTGAGTGACATTATCAATGATCTATTTTGTCTTTAAAAATGCTGTCAACACATACATATACATACAGGTGCATATAATATACAAAGAGCATAATAGCTATGGTACTATTTGGGGGATTAGGAAGAGGGAGAGAAGGAAAAAGAATGATGGAAGGTGAATAATACCAAAATACATTGTGTTCATAGATGAAGATGACATAAGAAATCTTACTGGAAGCTATTAAACAGAAGTGTGGCAGAATGGGAAAAGAGAGAGTTAAAGTATAACATCAACAGGCAAAATACTATGGTAATCCTGTGGTATTCTACTAGAAGAAAAAATGAATGCTAGGAAAGTAAAACAAGCCCTGTTCAGAGATGGGTACCAGTGGGAGGGCCACCAGAGAGGTTGAATAAGACAAACATGATTGCAATAATTTATATACGCATATGAAAATAGAACATCGAAAGCTACTGAAATGCCCCAAGAGGAGGGAGAGTTATGGAGGGGGTAAGTGTGATTAGGATACATTTCATGAAGCCATGTTAGTGATTTTGATTCCAGGTATTTGTGGTATCTACAATTCTATCCTAGTGTATTGTCTATAACTCATTTTTATAATACATTCAGTTTATTGTCATTTTTACCTTTTAAATGTCTGATAAAATTTTTAATATTATGGCAAATTGATTTTGGAGAAATCTCTTATATATTATATCTGGCCTAATATACTGAATAATTTGGTGGGTAATAAGCAGTAAATATATTTTAATGTCTTCCTTTAGTGATGATATGGCATAGGATTCAGTTGTTTTTTTTTAAGAATGAGAAGTACGTGATTATATTAGCTTTTCTTTATTTGCAGAGATCCTGCATATTTTGATGAAAATTGGCTAAATAGAATCAAAACTGAAGTGGGAGATAATTGGAGACTAAAGGTATTTCTTTTTATTTTTTAATATTTTAAATATTTGTGTTGCATAGTACTTGTTGTTTTGTAAGATTAAAATCTAATATATGCAATGAGATATAGAAATACAGGGAGCCTATAGTGAAACAATGTGGAACTGAATATTGATGACCAAGATATATCCTATGTAAGTTTTAAAAGGATAGTGGCTTTGTAGCTAGAGCTTCGTGTCCACATAATAGCACTATTATTTACTTTATCTAGACAAGTGTTTCAATTTTTCAAAACCTCATTTGTATCATTGTAAAGTTAGGGTTATAATGAGATCTACAACACAGAAATGACTTGCTATGGAAAGGGCTTAGAATTACGTACAATGCATGTGCTAGTTGTTAATTCTATTGTTAACAGTGAGAAAATTTGATAATCTTTGCAGTGGGGGGTGATGAGAAGGGATGGGAAGGGGAAACAAAGGAGGAGGCAACAATGCTTGATAAGAAATGTACTCATTATCTTGTTCGTGTAATTGTAACCCCTCTTTACAGTATTTTCACAATAAAAAAAAAGAAAAAAAGAAAATTTGATAATGAAAATGTTAATTTCTTTCTTGTTAGGCTTAAGTTCTAATGTTTCTTGATTCTAGACCATAATAACAAACCTTGTTTATGGCTGGGAATGTAGGGAGCTTGCCTAGCATGCATGAAGCCCTGGGTTTGATTCCTCAGTACCATATTAACAAAAAAAGCTGAAAGTCGGCTGTGACCTAGAGTGCTAGTTTTGAGCTTACAGAAACTCAGGGACAGAACCCAGGCCCTGATTTCAGGCCCCAGGACAGGCAAAAAAAAAAAAAAAGGAAAAAAAAACCCTGCTTATTCAAAGACATTTGCATAGATAACTGAGCAAATGTTTTTTTGTTTTTTGTTTTTTTGGGTCCGGTCGTGGGGCCTAACTCTGGGCCTGGGCACTGTCCCTCAGCTCTTCAGCTCAAGACTAGCACTCTACCACTTGAGTCACAGCACCACTTCTGGCTTTTTTTTTCTGCTTATGTGGTGCTGAGGAATCGAACCCAGGGTCTTGAGCATGAAAGGCAAGCACTCTACCACTGAGCCACCTTTCCAACCCAACTGAGCAAATGTTTACCCTAACTTTATACAGTGATGTTTTCATTTTACATATTAATTACAAGGGTAGGGAAGGTGGCTCAGTGGTAGAGTGCTTGCCTTGCATGCATGAGCCCCTGGGTTCGATTCCTCAGCACCACATAAGTAGAAAAAGTGGAGCTGTGGCTCAAGTGGTAGAGTGCTAACCTTGAGCTAAAGAGCTGAGAGACAGCGCCCAGGCCCAGAGTTCAAGCCCCATGACCAACAACAAAAATTAATTACAACTCATTTTTTTTTATATTCTTATGTGATTTTACACTCAAGGAATTCCAAAAAAGCAAATGGAAAGATCCTGTGTACCTTTCACCAAATTACTCAAGTTAACATGTATAACTGATACATTACACAAAACTAGGAAACTAACTTTGGTATGATTTACATTTCATTCAGATTTAACAGTACACTCTTGTGTTTGTATGTACAATTCTTTGCTTCTCTGGCTTATGTATACTTTTTGTAACTATTACCACAGTGAAGATACAGAACTGTATCATCATCACTAGCCTCCTTTTTGCTGCCTTAAAAGCTACATTCATACTCTCTGCACTCCTAACCCTTTACAACAACTGTTTTCTTCTCCATCTCCATAATTTCACTACAATAAATTAAAAAAATATTTTTGATACTCTTAGAGGAAGAACACAAAGGTGCAATGCCTCTCTGCCTCTTATCATGTGTTTATCAAAACTTAAAAAAAAAAGTGCCAATATTGGCGCTTGAGCTCAAGGACTCATGCTCTTACTGAATTCTTTTTCTCAAGGCTGGAGCTTTACCACTTGAGTTACACCTCTACTTCAGATTTTTGCTGGTTAATTGGAGATAAGAGTATTCAATTTGTCTGCCTGAACTGGCTTTAAACATTCATCCTCAAATTTCAATGGCCTGAGTAGATTACAGGCATGAACCACTGGCACCCAACTAGTAAACTGATTTTTGTAATCCCATAATGGTCATGACTGGCAGTTTGAAAAAGCCCTAGAATTATTTTCTATTTGATATATACTATTGAACATTCCATAATACAAATAAGTATGTAAGTCTCTGTACTTAATGATAAACATGGTTTGTTTTTATATATTTCTCAAGATACGTGTAATGAAAAGTATTGATAGCTTAGGTATTGAGACTACCAAAATCTTAATTTGTTATTTTTACTAAATGAATGAATAGAAGCTTTATAGTGAGGGAACAGGGCTTAAACTGAGGGCTTGGAACTCTCACTTGGCTTGCTTGTTCATGTCTTGTTCTCTGCCACTTTTGAGCCCCACCTCTAGCACAGCTTTCTGCTGGTTAGCTGAAAAGTCTAAATGACTTTCCTTCCCAGACTGGCTTTGAACCATGATCTTCAGGTCTAAGCCTTCTGAATACCTAGGATTGTAGTTATGAGTCACCAATGCCCAAGGATAATGCATGTTTAAAATAATGTTACTAATTATTTTGTGTTTGCTTGCCGGCTTGACCAAAAACGGACTTCTCTCACACACATGTACAAAACTACATACTCATACTCACATGCACTGTCTTCAGTGTCATGAGTATGGCAATGGTAGTAATACAGAATTTTCATATTCTCAATGTTTGGATTTGAAATTCTTAAGCATATTTTACCTGATGACCTATTTTAATTTTATGGGACATTCATAAAAAACAAGATATAGAACTTTTTTGTGATGGGAAAAACTGCTATTTTAAGTAAACATGTCTGTTTTTAAGGTGTTCTAATTTCAAATGTTAAAATTATAAGTAAAAGAAAATATATTATGCATCATATCTCTGAATTTTTTCAGAAATATGAGCTTGTGAATTTTATTCATGAGGTTGATTGTTGATTTTGTTTTATTCTGTTGTGTTTGAGACAGTTATATCATTTAGCCTGAGTTGGCCTTAGACTCAAAATCCTTTCCCCCTTCCCAAGTGCTTAGATTGTAAACATATGCTTCCACAACAGGTTGGTTGGGGTTTTTTGGTTTTGTTTTTAATAAATGTTTTCTATTTTAAAAATAAATGCCTTCAGCTGAGTAAAGATAGTTCAGTCTCTCTCATTTAATTGTCACTGGTTCTACTATTTTGTGTTCTAGGAATCTTCGATGATAGATTAAGTATCTTTTTTTTTTTTTTTTTTGGGTCCGGTCATGGGGCCTGAACTCTGGGCCTGGGCGCTGTCCCTCAGCTCTTCAGCTCAAGGCTAGTGCTCTACCATTTAAGCCACAGTGCCACTTCCAGCTTTTTTCTTTTTGCTTATGTGGTGCTGGAGAATCAAACCCAGGGCCTCATGCATGCAAGGCAATCGCTCTACCACTGAGCCACCTTCCCAGATTAAGTATCTTTAATCCAAACTCCAAAACCCTTTTGATCACAAGCAGTTCAGATAAATGATGATCCATAGATTGATATGACACATTTAATTCAACACAAATTTAATTGTCTCAGGAGAAAAAGAGGTAAAGAATTTACAGTTTTCAGTAAATAATGCCAATGACTATGCCTTGTCACGTCACACAAATAACATATGGCCAGTGAACTTAAGTTCTCGATTGAGTAAATACTAGGAGATATACATGTGATTCTTTTTTTTTTTTTTTTTGGTCCGGTCGTGGGGCCTGAACTCTGGGCCTGGGCGCTGTCTCTCAGCTCTTCGGCTCAAGGCTAGCGTTCTACCACTTGAGCCACAGTGCCACTCTTGGCTTTTTTCTTTTTGCTTATGTGGTGCTGAGGAATCGAACCCATGGCCTCATGCATGCAAGGCAAGCGCTCTACCACTGAGTCACCTTCCCAGCCCCCACATGTGATTCTTTCTCCTCCTCATTTTAGGGTCCTTCTCATGGGACAAGTATTTGTAGTGCTTGAGAATATTATTCTGTGTTTTTTTTTAATATAGTGGTTTTAAGCAGGGTGCTGGTGGCTCATGCCTGTAATCCGAGCTACTCAGGAGGCTGAGATGAGGATCACAGTTCAAAGCCAGCCCGAGCAGGCAAGTCCATGAGACTCTGATCTTAAACCACCAGAAAACCAGAAGTGGCGCTGTGGCTCAAGCGGTAGAGTACTAGCCTTGAGCTGGAGAGCTCAGAGTCAGTGCTCAGGCCCAGAATTCAAGCCCCACAACCGACAAAAATAAAATAAAATAGTGGTTTTTCTTTTTATCTTAAAGCTCACAAATTCTTTGGTATTCAGTCAAAGAAACAAGTCTTCTGACAGTGGAGAAATTTGGAGACATAACTTGTGCATAAAGAGATTTCCGAGGGTTATTTTTACTTTATTGTTTTGCTTACTGCTCTCAATTTAGAACTTATACTATATGAGATGCAATTCTTTCTTTCTTTCTTTCTTTCTCTCTTTCTTTCTTTCTTTTCTTTCTTTCTTTTTTTCGGTTGGTCGTGGGGCTTGAACTCTGGGCCTGGGCACTCTCCTTCAGCTCTTCTGCTCAAGGCTAGCGCTCTACCACTTGAGCCACAGTGCCACTTCCAGCTTTCTCTGCTTATGTGGTGCTGAGGAATCAGACCCAGGGCCTCATGCATGCAAAGGAAGCACTCTACCACTAAGCCACCTTACCAGCCCAACAATTCTGTTTTTCTAGGGAAAATATACTTGTCTTTATTAAGGATACCATATGTATTTCTTAACTTATCTGCAGAAAGTCTGAGTAATTTAATCTTTTTTTTTTTTTTTTGGTCAGTTACATAGGGCTTGAACTCTGGGCCTGGGTGCTGTCTGAGCTCTTCAGCTCAAGGTTAGCACTCTACCACTTGAACCACACTGCCACTTCTGGTTTTCTGGTGGTTATTTGGAGATAAGAGTCACGGCTTTTCCTGCCTGGGCTAACTTTCAACCTTGATCCTCAGATCTCAGCCTCCTCAGTATCTAGGATTATAGGCGTGAGCCACTGGGACCAAGCTTAATTTAATCTTAACTGCAAATTTTATTCAAATACCTTGCAACTTTTTGTCAATGTCCACGTTAATGTTGAAACTTGTATATATATCTTTGAGATACTGGGGTTTGAACTCAAGGCTTCATTTCATGCATTTGTAGGCAGACCCTTTTTACTTGAGCTATGCCATCATCTCCATAATTGGAAACTTAATATGTGTTATATATCAGATTAAATAAATGAAGCCCAAAAGGGACCAATAATCCTTTTTTGATGATTAGTACAAGTGTGCTATTAAATTTTAATTTTTATTCACTTTGAATATTCTTTATATGAAATGCTTATAGTAAAAAATGTATCTAATTTTGAAGTTTTTTGGATTTTGGAATGTTTCCACTTTCCCAGCCAAATGTCCCTAGTCTGAAAATCTGGAATCCAAAATGACCCAAAATCTGAAACTCTGTGAATGTCACTATAACAGATTTTTTTTTCTTTTGCCAGTCCTAGGACTTCAACTTGGAGCCTGGGCACTGTCCTTGAACTTCTTTGTGCTCAGGAGTAACACTCATATCACTTGAGCCACAGTGCCACTTCTGGCTTTTTCTGAGTAGTTTATTAAGGATAAGAGTGTTGTGGACTTTTCTGCCCAGGCTAGCTTTGAGCCACAATCCTCATATCTCAGCCTCCTGAGTAGTTATGATCACAGGTATGAGCCACCGGCATCCAGATAACAGAATTTTTTATTAGGAATGTTCATAATTTTGTATTTGTGTTATGATTCAAGTTTAGCTCAGGGTTTTTTATTTATTAAATTATGCTTTGACGTGTGTTTGCTTTTTACCCACTTGCTTCTCTCTCTGAGCAGATTAGCAATTTAAAGAAAATTTTAAAAGGAATTCTGGATTACAATCATGAGGTAAGGCCTTTTTTTGTTTTATTCTACTTGGAAGTATTATTGTAGGATAGTTTGCCTTTAAAATAAGTTTTACATTAAGGAAAAATTACCTTCAGAATTAATAATCACTTTCTTATCCCTTGTGTAGTTGTTGGTTCAAACAGCTGTTTATCAGGTACTAACCAAATGAATAATATGCCTCATTATTTTATAGGTTATTTGTAGATGATTATTAATATATATTGATCCATTGATCCAGCCAGCAACTCTGTATCTTTTGATTGGAGAGTTGAGTCAATTACATATTGAGTGTTAGAATTGAGAAATATGTTAGGGGAAGAATCCAAAGGGGGAAAAAAAAAAAAGAATCCAAAGGGATAGCTCCTCTGAGCAATTAAGTACTCAACTAAGTATTCAAAATAAATACATGGAAGTGGAAATATATTTGGGGGGAGAGACAAAGGGTTTATAGCAATGGGAGGAAGGATGTGCAAATGTAGTCATTATATTCAATGTACATTATGTGAAAAATGAACTCTGTAACTTGAGAAAATGAGAGAATGAAGGAAAGAGTGACATTGACCAAGAAGTACTGTACTCATAATTTGACTTATGAAATTGTAACCCCTCCATATAACTACCTAATAATATTTTAAAAGAAATGAGTATATATAGATCCTATCATTAGTTATCCCCAATTTTGGTGTTGTCTTTTCTGTTTTTCCTGTTTGTTTGCTCATCTGGTGGGATTGTTTTCTCTGCCTCTTCCATGTTCATGTTAATCTTTTGTTTGCAGTATGTCTTTGAGTATCTTCTGTAGTGCTGGCTTGACTCATTTACTTGTGTTTCTTTTTCTTATTCTTTTTATTTTTAATTTTATAATTCACAGGTATCAATTGTTCCAAACAAGGAGTTTCATTGTTACATTTTCCTACATTTCTTATAATGTGCTTTGTCATATTCACCACTGTATTACTCCTGTAATTTTTTTTAAGCCATAAATTGTTACTTCTTGAAGGTGCTAAGAATGCTTACTAGATCTTTTTGGCTTAGAAGAAAGAACTTTTCATTATTTCTTTTTTGTTTTTCCATTTTGTAAAGTACAAATGATAATTTTCAATAAAGTAGCAGTGAAAAAGAAATTGAAACTCATTTCTGTGAAAATGGTGATAGTATTTCAGGAACTAGTTACTGAGGTATTATTATACTTAGTGCTGTACTCTTACCCATGAAGGAATGCTGTTATCCACAACTCACACTGAGAAAGGTCAGCAGCCTCTACATACCTCATTCATTTTCTCCTACTGTTTTTTACTTTTCTTTCTCTAACCCTACAACTTTTGTTTGGCAATATTTTGGCCTTAGGTCTACAACCTAACCTTTGTGCAACAGAGAATAATACTGTTAAGTTAGCATTTTAGCATTGATACTTTGCTTATGGCTTTTTAAAAGTCTAATTATAGTCATTATTATTTGATAATGAGGAACAGTTGATGTGACTAAAACTAAAATCAGATATTTACACAGCCATTTATTAAGCCCATTCTATGATATTTTACTCAGTCTCATTTCTCCTTTCACAGAACAGACTTTTTTTCCTTCTTACCACCTGCTATAATTTGTATTTAATATATTCCTTTTTTGCATTTACCTATTGTATTTCTTTTTTTTTGGGGGGCGGTCTGGCCGTGGGGCCTGAACTCTGGGCCTGGGCGCTGTCCCTGAACTTTTTGTTCAAGGCTAGTGCTCTACCTCTTGAGCCACAGCGCCACTTCCGGCTTTTTTCTTTTTGCTTATGTGGTGCTGAGGAATCGAACCAAGGGCCTCATGCATGCAAGGCAAGTGCTCTACCACTGAGCCACCTTTCCAGCCCCCTGTATTTCTTCATTTTGTTCTATAAATTATGAAAACAGAACTCTTACCTATGTATTTAATTTTTTTTTACAAATGCATACTCATTAATTCTACTTTAAAAATTTCTTCTAAAGCGACTTAGTAGCTACTTGGGAAGCTGAAATAGAAAGATCGCTTAAGCCCAGGAGTTTGAATCCAGCTTGGGAAACATGGTTACATTCCCAGCTCTAAAAAGAAATAATAGTAATATTATTATTATTATTAGAACTATCTACTTCATTAATGTACAGTAAGAAAAAATTGAAAATAACCCATATATTTGACAATAAGAAAATTGTAAGTTATTTGTAGAACAAATAGCATGTACCCATAAAAAGTACATATTTATAAAGACCTTATACAAATACAAAGTTACATGTACCATAAGTTACCAGTTTTATAGACCTCGACACAAATGTTGTAACTATGTCTATGTAAGTTCACAATTTCAAATCTCTTAGACCTGATTCATTATGAAGTCAGTTCTCAGCTTGAACTCAGGGTCTGGGTACTGTCCCTTAACTTTGATGCTCAGTGTTGCTACTTTGTCACTTGAGTATCCACAGTTATACTCAGCCACCTGAGTAGGTAGGATTGCAGGTGGGAGCCACTGGTGCCCAGATGCTGGTTTTACTTTCATGTTTTGGTAGAACACATTTTCTAGTAGCATCTTTCAAAATCTATGATCATTTTTTTAGTCATTGCAAATTAGGAGATAATCTTAACTATCCCTTCAGGGTTGAGTTGGTTGTGATAATCTATAACTTCAGTACTGCTGTTAAAATTTTTCATTCAGATTTCCCATTTTCTTTTGTTAACTTGTATTATTTGCTGGAAGCTGGAAGTTGTTAGTTTCCCTTGGTTTTGTTTTTGCTTTGTGCTGGTCCTGGGACTTGAACTTAGGGCCTGGGCACTGTCACTGAACTGAACCTTTTGAGCCATAGCTTTACTACTTTTGGTCGTTAATTGGAGACAAGAGTGTCATGGACTTTCCTGTCTAGGCTAGCTTTGATCCGTGATCCTAGATCCCAGCCTCCTGAGTAGCTAGAATTACAGGTAGGAACCACTTGCTGCATATTTATATATGCATACATGCATACATATATATATATATATATATATAATTTTACTGTTATTATTAAGATGTTGCACAAAAAGGTTATCATTTCATAAGTCAGGTAATGGTACATTTCTTTTTTTTGGACAATATCACTCCTTCCTTTGCTTTGCCCCACTTTTCCCTTTCTGTCCATGCCCACAATTTACATAGTTCATTTTTTTATTCCAAGTTTGTTAATGGCATGCTTTGGTGTGAGGTCCATTTTTTGGTTGGGGTTTGTTTTGTTGTGCCTGGCACTTATTGAGGCCTTAAAATACCTACTAGTTTTAATTTTAGGCATACTTTTATATACATAAAATTTAATTTCCAAGAACTCTTTCAGTTTTCCAAGTGGAATTTTCATATCCTTTTCTTGTTTTATGAGTATATTTTCTGATTTCAGAATATATTTATCAGATATGTTCTTTGTTTAACCTATCTGCTTAGTTTTTCCTAGATAGTCATCACTTAATTTTTTTGTGTGTGTCATTCTAAAAGTTATCTTTCCTTTTCAAGGAACAAAATTATCTTTGTATTGCTTGACGATGCATTCATTCATTTAATTCATTTGTTTTCCATTATCATTTAGAATAAAATTTACTTCTTTAACATAATTCACAAGGACCTAAGTGATTTATCCCCATTCCTATCTTCACTTCAATTCCTATTATTCTTTTCCCCCAGACATGCTACCCTCATCAGGTGTACCCCACCTCAAGACTTTGTCCTGGCCTTTGAGGTGTGCATTCCTTGCATATTGTATAGTTAACACTTATAATAGAGGCCCTTCTTTCTCACAAAGATCCATCACTTTTCATTGTAAACATATTCATAAAGTACATTAAATATAAATGTGAAGTTTAATAGTTAATTATGAAGAGAATAATCATGTAATGACTGTAACTTTGCCACTAGATTACCGCTTTCCTTTCTCCTATTCAGAGAAAAATTGATCCGTGTGTGTGTGTGTGTGTGTCTGTGTCTGTGTCTGTGTGTCTGTGTCTATGTGTGTGTGTGTCTGTCTGTGTGTGTGTGTGTGTCTGCCAGTTCTAGGGCTTGAACTCAGGCCTGGGTGTCTTAACTGAGCTTTTTTGCTTAAGACCAACATTCTACCATAGCTCTCCTCTAACTTTTTGTGGTTAATTTGAGGTAAGACTCTAAGGGACTTTTCCTTCCTAGGCTGGCTTTGAACCATTATCCTCATATCTCAGCCTCCCCAGTAGCTAGGATTAGAGGCGTGAGCCATTTGCATTTAGCTCAATCCTGATCTTTTAAATAATCTTTTTCCTTTCTTAATAGTTGTTTGCTGTTGTTTTTAGTTGTTGGTGGGTTTTTTTCTTGTTAGTTTGCTGGACTCAAACTCAGTGTCTAAGCATTTTCACTCACAGATGGCTCTACTTGAGCTATACCTCCAGTTTAGCTTTTTTGCTGGTTATGGTTAGCTTGAGATAGAGTTTTGAGGGACTTTTCTATCTTTGAATTGTAATTCTCAGCCTCCCAAGTAGTTAGGATTACAGGCATGATACATCAGTGTCCAACTTCTTTGATAGTTTTGCCATTTATGGAAGTATCAATAACAGCATTAAAATTTTCATTTTCTTTCACTTCCTGCATCATGCTGTTGTTTGAATTTCTTTATTTTTTTTTTTTCATGTGGGAGATTTTACTCAACTGTGTTCATAATCCTGCCTTTATTGACATTTAAGAGTAAAACTGTAAGCCGGGCGCCGGTGGCTCACGCATGTAATCCTAGCTACTCAGGAGGCTGAGATCTGAGGATCACAGTTCAAAGCCAGCCCAGGCAGGAAAATCTGTGAGACTCTTATCTCCATTAAACCACTAGAAAACTAGAAGTGGCACTGTGGCTCAAGCGATAGAGCACTCGCCTTGAGCTGAAGAGCGCAGGGACAGTGCCTAAGCCCAGAGTTCAAGCCCCACTACCGACAAAATAAAAAAAGTAAAACTGTAAAAAGGCTAATATCTTAGTGGGTGTGTTTTTAGTCTTAAAGTTCTCTGTAGAATTATCCAGTAGACATTCTCACATTTGTTTGTGTAAATCATTTTGTTTGGTACTAAGTTCACCATGAAGAAATCCTTCATTCTTCTTTCTGGTATAGATTTTTTCTACTCATCATTTGAGAGAGAAATGGTTCTAGTTCATATCTAGTTCGTATCCAGTCACACTCAGAGCAGTAGTATAGTTTCTTTGTTCAGTATATGTACCACACATCAAATCAGGGACTAAGTTGCAGTGAGGCAAAACAGTTATAATGTAGGTGTGGAAGGCAAAAATAGAAGTTGGGAGTAAAATTTTCAAAACAGCTTTGCCCTTGGTAGAAAGTTTATGGTGATAATTAATCTCTGCTAGTTATATTATATGGTTAGATAACTGTGAATGCAGTAGTAATCTTCTTATTTCCATTCAGATTTTAGGACAGCAGATTAATGACTTTACTCTTCCTGATGTGAACCTTATTGGGGAGCATTCTGATGCAGCAGAGCTTGGAAGGATGCTACAACTAATTTTAGGTTGTGCTGTGAATTGTGAACAGAAGCAAGGTAATTTACTTAAACTTAGTGTGTGTATTTAAAATATTGAAGGAAGTAATATATAATGTATAATAAATATTTTATGTATAATCAGAACCTCAAGAACATCTTTCTAAGGCTATCCATTTTCTATAATTTTGCTAATACTTTGCTTTTATACTTAAGTTTTGCAAATGAGAATAAATTCTTTATGGTAATAGTCTTTCACCTGTAAGACCACATAATTCTTTTATTTATTTTTATTGTAAAGGTAATGTACAGAGGGGTTGCAGTTATAAAAGTCAAGTATTGAGTACATTTCTTTTTGAACAGTGTCACTCCCTCCCTCATATTCTCCTAGTTTTTTTCCCACCCAATCCCTTTCCCCCCCAAGTTGTATAGTTCATTTCTAACATAGTGTCTAGTGAGTATCACTGCTGAATTAGTTCACCCTTTGTCCCTCCATTTCTGAAGACCACATAATTCTATGAGTATGTTTTTTTATTTGTTATGGTGCTGGGGATGAAACCTGAGGCCTCATACACACCAAACCATGTATGCTACCATTGAGCATATTGTTTTTCTTTGTAGTATTGGGGGATTAAACTCAGGTTCTCAAGCTTGCTAGGTAAGTTGCTCTACCATTTAAGCCATTCCATCAGCCCCTTTTTGTGTCAGTTATTTTGCTTATTTTCAAGATAATATTTCACTTTATACCTGGGCCAGCTGACCTGTAGTCCTCTAAATTATATTTCACCATTGTCCTTGGAGCGTGACAAGTACATGCCAGCTTGTCATCCATTGGGCTTCTTCTGTATCTGGGATGAAAGGTACCACTGCACTTTGTCATTGGTTGAGATGGAATGTCATGAATTTTATGATTCAGCTGGCTTTGAACCTCAATCCCTCAATCTCTGCTAGGATTATGGGCATGAGCCACAGTGCTCAGATCATGTAGATTATTTTAATGCAGTTTAACAACAGGTGATGAAATTTAATGTTAAGAGGGCATGGTCCATCTATTACTTTAGAAATTCAATGAGCAAACAGTTGCAGTGTAATGAGAGTGACTGAGATTCCCCCTTGCCCAGCATATGTCTATAATAGATGTCTTAGAAATATTTTTAAAACGTTGAAGCGTTGTCTTTGCTGGGGGGGAAAAGAGTGGGAAATGTCATTGTACATACTCTCTAAATAATAAAAATAAATTTCGAATTTAGTTCCCTACCCATAAATCTAATAGATATTCTCTCATGAAACCATCTCTTCTGTGTGTGTATGTGTGTGTGTGTTACTGGAATTGAGCATAGATCCTTGTACATACAAGGCAAGTACCCTAATAGAGAGCTTCCTCCTAAATTTTAAAGGTACTTTGACTATCTTTTAAAGGAAGAAATAATATTGTACATTATCAAAATGGTTTTATTCTACTTTTTTGTGTGTTAAAACTATAAGTTACTTCATATTAATGTACCCTAGCAAGAAAACCTTAAAGTTTAAAAACCATTCACGATTCATTTTATGAAGATGGACAGACTTAAAATTAATGATTTGTCTATGTGTATCTCAATACTAAAAAGCTGTCAGAACTACCATGTAAATCAATTATTTTTCTTTATTTCCTTTGCATTATAATTTAAAATACCCAATTCTAAGTTCTTAGATGGAACTGGTCCCTTACATTAAGTACTGTTATACATAATAGTAAGTACTATTAATGGTTGGTTTACTAAGTAGTTGTTCCTTTTGTAAAATAACAGTTTACAATATATTTCTGTATTTAGATTAAGAGCATGGGCTATAGTATTTAACCAGACTGTTCAGTGCAGTTCCACTGCTGTACATTAGAGGGTAGGTATGTTATTGAATCTCAGCCTTTTAGCTTCTTAGTAAAATAAACATTTAGTGCCTACTTCATAAGGTCACTCTGGTGACTAAAATGATGAGATAATGAATGTAAAACAGTAGTTGTTTGCATATAGTAATGGCTCCAACAATATTAGTTACATGGAATGTAACTTGTTACAGACCTTTTTTTTTTTTTAATTTTGTTTTTGGGTCAGGTTGTGGGGCCTGAACTCTGGGCCTGGGTGCTGTCCCTCAGCTCTTCAGCTCAAGGCTAGCACTCTACCGCTTGAGCCACAGCGCCACTTCCGGCTTTTTTCTTTTTTCTTATGTGGTGTTGAAGAATCGAACCCAGGGCCTCATGTATACAAGGCAAGCACTCTACCACTGAACCACTTTCTCAGCCCCCTACATACCATTTTTTAAAACATGCATTTAAGCTATCTTTTGTGCATTTTTATAAGCTTTCAGATAGTCACAATTTTGAAACTATCTTATCATAAGGAAGTCTTTAATAGTTTATGTTTATTCTATGAATATAGGGCATATAAATTAGTGAAGTGTAGACTTAGAAAAAGTTATATGTATTAAATTAAATTAACTTTGCAGAATTTGTTAGAAATATATATTGCTTTTATGTGTCCAAGAAATCCAAGGTGACATATATGTACTTTTTAAATTAAAGACCAGCATTGATATTTGCATAATAGTGTGGTCAACTTTTAGATACTTAAGTGTTCATCTGATCTTAAGTAAAGCTTTTTTTCCCTGTATTGACAGTTTTTCATTTTCACAATTTCAAATTATCATACATAGATATATTTTACCTTAAATATAATTTTCCTGTTCTCTAGTTGATTTATTTCACCAATATTTATTGAATTGATAAATTACAGGCTGATTACCTTGTAGTAGACAAAAAAAGATACAATATTTGCTCTCTTGAAGCTTGATTGGTGAAAAAGATATTAAATAATAACAAAAAATCAAATCAGAAAAAGAGATAGACTATTTTCCTATTTCCTCAAACCTGAAAATGGGAATTATATTTCTGTTAACTTGTTTTTATTCTATTTTAGTGGTCTAGAAGTCTGGAAGTTTAATAATAGTTAATGTTTCTTTGAAACTGACTGGTTTTATTAGTCTTCCATTCATGATTTTTTTTTTTCTTGGTCCTGGGGCCTGAACTCTGGCCCCCATTCAGGACTTTTTAAACCATATATTCTTGATCTCTGTATATTACTAAGATGTCTTAAAGTTCCTGTCAAGACTTTAGAGAAATCTCTTAAGAATATACTTTTTTTTTTTTGGTGGGGGGGTCTGGTTGTGGGGCCTGAACTCTGGGCTTGGGCACTGTCCCTCAGCTCTTCAGCTCAAGGCTAGAGCTCTACCACTTGAGCCACAGCGCCACTTCTGGCTTTTTTCTTTTTGCTTATGTGGTGCTGAGGAATCGAACCCAGGGCCTCAGGCATGCAAGGCAAGCACTCTACCACTGAGCCACCTTCCCAGCCCCATTAAGAATATACTTTAAAGAGGATGAGAAATTGCTTAATTGTTTATGAGTATCTGATAATGACATTTTTTGTTATTGTTGTTGGTTGTGAGACTTGAACTGGTGGCTAGGCACTATCCCTGAGCTTTTGTGCTCAAGGCTAGTGCTCTACCACTTTGAACTACAGCTCCACTTCTGTTTTGGGGGTAGCTAATTGGAGATAAGAGTCTCATGGACTTTCCTGCCTGCGCTAGCTTTAAACTGTAATCCTCGATCTCAGCTTCCTGAGCAGCCAGGATAACAGACATAAGGTACCAGTGCCCATCTCTAGTATTGACTTCTAAGGGAACCTTAGAAAATTCATCAAGCCCTAGTCTTCCAGAGTTCTTGGAAATGTATACCTATTAAATTAGCATGTTGAGTAATCATACTTATTACAGAATAGAATTAGAAACAGTAAAGATATTATCTATATCTGCATTTCTATTCCTAAGGAAAAATAAAATAATATATATTGAGCTTCTTGCACAAACTAAATGTTCTGTATGGGTACGTAGATTTAGTTTTCCCCTTGACATTGTATAAATGATAAACTTGTTGAGCAGAATTTTAACATCTCTCTAATTCTTATTTAGAGTATTTTCTGCTCTCAGGAATATAGTAGAGTTAAGAATCATACATAATTGCAATTCTGAATGTTAAGTATTAGCTGTTACTTTGTATGTATAGGTTTATTGGTTACTTCAGCCATTTGCTATCTAACTTTTGAGATGGGTTTGTTTTAGTGGTTTGGGTTTAGAGCTTTTGTTCTTGGGGGTGCTGCTTTTTTTTTTTCTATCTAACCTTTGATGAGGTTCTCAGCCTATTTCCTTGTCTACACAATGAGTATGCAAAATCTTGAAGTCATGAGGAGTGAATGAAATTACATCTGAGTTTTTCTTTGTAAAAGCACTATATAAACAAAAAGGGCTTTTGTGAGATTTTATTTCCACCAAGGATGTGGCTTAAGTGATAGAACATTTGCCTGCAAGGTCCTGAGTTAATTCCCAGTACTGTGAGGTAGAATGAGAAATGAGGAACAGTTGCTAAGAGCTTTGACTTAACTGACTTAACTTTTTCTTGACTGACTTCTCTAATTGTGGTGAATTAGTTATGACAGGTTGTAGTAGTAGAAAACACACTGACAATAACATTTGATTCTCTTCTATCTGATATTGTGCTAGACACTAATAAAACAAAAATGGTTTTACAAATTAGGAAGTTGGGGCTCATAAATATTTGATGTGCCAATATTTCTTACTTGTCAGAGACAAGTAAGACAAAAAATGTCTTCCACATTTAAGCTTAATTTGTGCTAAACCAGGCTATGAGTTTGGACAGCTAAGATTCAGGGTAAACTCTTTTGCATAGTGCACTTCATTCTCCAACATTGCTTCATAAATGTGTACTCAGTAATCACATCTAATTGTGTTTTAGACTTCACAGATATGTAAATCATGTTCTATTTAAAATATTACACACTAATGTATTTCTCATCATCATTTTATCATTTATCATTTTACGGTGTTCGCGGGGAAGGGCCTTGACGTGGCAACACCGCTTCTTAACTAACGCTTCCCCTCTCACACCTACTAACATCCTGACCTCCCTGCCCCACTGTTACTTCTTTGCTTCTGGTAGACTACCATTAAGCTGCTTTTCCCCATTACATGTCACTGCTTCCTTTCTTCTATGTTCACAGTCTTTCATTTTGAGGGCTGGTCAACCATCCTCACTACACTAGTTTCTGTGTTTGATACCTTAGAGTAGAATACCTTAAAAAATATTCTCTTGCTGTATTTCAGTAATATAGTGGTTATCATTCAGAAAACTAAATAAAAATTGAGCTCTAGCTAAAGGAATTCTCTTTTTTTGGTTGTTTTTACACTGGTCCTGAGGCTTGAACTCAGCATCTAGGCAAAGTCCTTGAGCTTGTTAGCTTACACTCAGTGTTCTTATTACTTGAGCCATAGCTCTATTTCCTACTTGTTTGGTGTTTAATTGGAGGTAAGAGTCTTGCACACTTTCTGCTTAGTCTGTCTTCAAACCACAATCCTCTTATCTTAGCCTCTTGAGTAGCAAGGATTACAGGTGTGAGCCACTGACCCCAGCTTAAAAGAATTCTATATTTACCAAACAGTAATTAAGTCATAATATAGTTATCCTCTTCCCTAAAATTTGTGATTAAGATTTAGTTGTGTTTTGTATATTGTATGCATAACCACACTGAAATTTCAGTGGGTACAATTTCCTTAAAACATGTTTTTGGGGCTGAGAAGGTGGCTCAGTGGTAGAGTGCTGGCCTTGCATGCATGAGGCCCTGGGTTAGATTCCTCAGCACCATGTAAACAGAAAAACTGGAAGTGGTGCTGTGGCTCAGAGTGCTCACCTTGAGCTGAAGAGCTGAGGGACAGCACTCAGACCCAGAGTTCAGGCCCCACCGACAAAAAACAAAAAACATATTTTTGATAAGCTAAAAGCTTTGACATTTACAACTAGAATATTACAATATTAATAACTAGTAATGATATAAGATTAGTTTTTTATAAAACTAGTTACTTGTTTGGCAGAGGATTACAGACAGATTGGCCTTCCAAATGTATGTCTTTTATGAAAATATGACTTTGACAATTTCACATTAAGACTTCTCTAAACAAGTATTTGGAGTGGTGAAATTATTTTGTATTTGAATTTTGTGTATGTGGAATCACAGAGGCAAAGTTCAGGTAAAAACTTCCTCATTACCTTGTAAAGTATATATTTACTTTTGAATCCGCCTGACCTGTTGATACTTTATGGTCAGTATACTTTTGTCATCCATTATTGGATTTGAGAATAATTTAAAACAAGGATTTTTTTTTTGTCAGTTGTGGGGCTTGAACTCAGGACCTGAGCACTGTCCCTGAGCCTCTTTGTGCTCAAGGCTAGCACTCTACCACTTGAGCCACAGTGCCACTTCCAGTTCTTGAGTGGTTAATTGGAGATATGTTCACAGAGACTTTTCTGCCCAGGCTGACTGCAAACCATGATCCTCAGATCTCAGCCTCCTGTGTAGCTGGGATTACAGGCACAAGCTATTAGTGCCTGGCTAAAGCAAGGCTTTTAGAAAGAAAGGAATTGTTTTTCAACATTAGTAATAGTAACAGCTAAGAAATCTTTCTCTTTTTAGTTCTGGTAAGAATTAGACTATAGTGGTTGTTTCTTTAGCATAGTAAAGATGTGGGACATCATTTTATTTTATTTTTTATTTTTTGGTCCGGTCGTGGGGCTTGAACTCTGGGCCTGGGCGCTGTCCCTCAGCTCTTCAGCTCAAGGCTAGCGCTCTACCACTTGAGCCACAGTGCCACTTCTGGCTTTTTTATTTTTTCTGCTTATGTGGTGCTGAGGAATCGAACCCAGGGCCTCATGCATGCAAGGCAAGCCTCTACCACTGAGCCACCTTCCCAGCCCAGTGAGACATTATTTTAAACCCCAAATCATACAGTAATTAGCAGTACGAAGAGTTTCTGTCTTAAATTCCTTTGTCCTAAACAGGTGTCGGTTTCATTGTTTTTTTTCCTCTGTTGTACAAAATATGAAGTTAAGAGTTTGCCCCATTCAACCCTTGATGTCACATAAGATTAATAAAGACTTCAGAATTTTTTTAAACAATGTAGTAAAGAATAATGTGAACAATAATGCTTGGATTTTAGAAAAGTTCTTTCTGGCTTTAGACTTTGCCATTTCATCATTCACATTGATGCATATTTATTATACTCATGCTGTATTCACTGATCTTTAGCTGAGCTTCAACTTTATAAGCAATGGTAAAAGGAAGAAAAAAATGTCTTCAGGGAAGATAAATGCAGTCGTCTTCAGCCTTTACTGTGGCATGTATATGAGGCACACACACACCATGTATGAGAGATTGTAGGAAGAGTCAACACATAGGAAACCACTTATAAAAATCAATGAAGTATTAGCCTTTACTCCTTTTACTTTACTCCTTTACTGTTTTTAACTTGAATAGTGACATTCCAGATTGTTTTTGTTTACAGAATACATTCAAGCCATTATGATGATGGAAGAATCAGTTCAACATGTTGTCATGACAGCCATTCAAGAGGTATGTTGGAGTTTGTGCATACTTTGTGACAAACTAAAATAGAAATTTTAAGTTTAAGTAATAGAAGTTAAAAATTTTGAAAAGGAATCTACTCATTTTTTGACAAATTTTGTTCAGGGCCTCATATAACTTAAACTCTTAAGCTCTTATTGTCATCATCATCATCATCATCATTCTCCTACTTTTTCTTTACACTTAGGATAGAACTTACTTTATTTTTTAAAATCATACTTGGTTAAAACATTTTTTTTTTTGCTATTGGCTCAAATTCAGCCTGGGCACTGTCCCTGAGATTTTTTTCCCCAAATTTATTGTTATTTATATTCAATAAAATGGAGGGGAAAATCCAGTTTTGAGCCAAGAAGGAAATTCAACAATGGCAGAAAACTTAAATGTGCTAATGACATTTTTTTCCATCCTGATGAGTCATATAATTCATTTGTTCAGTCCAAAAATTCTTTAAGAAATAGTCCTTTAACATTATCTATGTCCCTGAGATTTTTCCTCCAGGTTAATGCTCTACCACTTGAGCTACAGCTCATGTTCTGGCTTTTTTGGGTAGTTAATTGGAGATAAAAGTCTCACAAGGCTTTCCTGCCTGGGCTGACTTTGAACCACAACTTCACATCTCAACTTCTTGAGTAGTTAGGATTATAAGCATGAGCCATCTATGCCCAGTTCACAACTCTTTAAATTTTAAATGCTTTCTTTGCAAATATAAATGTATCTATTCCCTCATTTTTAAAAATATCTTTAATGAAAAAAAAAAAGGAGGCTATGATCCTAGATCCTCAGGAGACTGGGATCTGATGGTCACTGTATGAAGCCAGCCCAGGCAGCAAAGTCCTTAAGCTTGCTGAGCTACACTAGGGAATCAGATCTATGTCATTATCAACTCTAATGGTCATACTTTTCAACTAAAAAAATCAATCCAGATTGTCTAATGCATGATCTGATCACAGAACAGAATATTTAAAATTAGGCTTTTCCCCTGAAATCCAGGCCATCTGCTTACTGTTGTGTTACTCCACCCATTGGCTTCCTCATCACACACAGGCCTGGAGATGCCCCCAGCTGTTAGCCAGGCCTTGGGACTGAGAAGTAGGGAAAGGGAAAAAGAGCTAATATATACTGAGTTCTTGCCATGTGTCAGACACTTTCTATTATCTCATTAACTGCCCAAGACATCCATCTAAAGATAGGTACTCTGATAATCCTTTGCACAGATGAGGAGACTGGTTCAGACAGCTAGACCCTTTCCCAAGGTCACACAACTACCAAACTAGGCTCAGAGTAGGCTCATGACCCCAGTGAGGTGAGCTATCTAGCAGAGAAAGGCCTTCTAAGGAGTGAGAGAAGCACAGAGCAGAAATGCTAGTCAGCTATTGTGAACTTGGGATATAATGGTAAGAGGTAAAGAGACCAAAGGCAGATCCCAGCCCTGCTCTTCTCTATCTTCTGGAATACACATTCAACCTCTCAGTCCCATACATTGTAAGTATACTGGTACGTGCTCACAGGAAGTGAGGATGTTAGGAGGGGCTTGGAGCTCATCTCCAAGGAATAGTTGGAGGAACTGTCGCTATTTGGCCTGGATTTGTGACTTCAGAGATTTCCATTTCTCTTTTTTTTTTTTTCTGTGCCTCCCCTTACAGACTTATATAGTTCTGAGGGATACAGAAGACAGGCATATTCTGTGTGGTCCTAGAAGTCAAAGATAAGAGGTGCTTGCTATAGGGAGTCAGATTTGAAACTTGCTCTGGTCAGTCCAAACTATCCTGTCATATCCTAGAGAGAGCATGAGCTCCCCATTGCTACAAATATATATATATATATATATATATATATATATCTTTAATGAGCCAGAAACTGTAGACTAATTCCCAAATATAATAATAAGTAATATCTATTATAAATGAGCTGCCTACATCACATTTAATATTTGGTTCTCTGTTTGACAAAAGTGAGTCCAATTCCAGTCATATTCCAGGCAATTTCTGTTGAATATGTAGATCATAAACTTATGAAAGTACAATATCTAATAGCTAGTTGATCTCAACATGTGAGAATCTTTTCAGTCATAAAAGAAATGAGGCACAATCTTAAAGAAATGAAAACTACAGATTTGATAGGAATATGCAACTAATAGGAAATTACATGACAGGGAAAATGCCAAATATAAATTGTGTTGTCTTATACATTTTTGCATTTATCTCTGACACTACCCAGAGTTGAGCCATATTTCGGTTTAAGGACACAGTCATCCCCTCAGAGACTAGCTCCAGTTTCAGCAGTATCCAGACTACCTTACATCTGAACAATTTGCTTTAAATTCAGGGGTTCCCACTACACTTCAGTTTCATAATTCACTAAAATGATCTAGAATTCAGGAATGGTAATAGTTCTATTATAGCAAATGGATGCGTTTTTACAATGTTAAGCAAAATAAACATAAGGCAAATATCTGAGATGGTTCTAAATGCAAAGCTTTTGTTGTCTTTTCCCTCTGGACATGTTATTTTCTGGCTTATCTCATGACAATATACAGAGTTTTCTCAAACAGGGAAGTTCATGTAGCATTTTATATCCAGAGTCTTCATTAGGAATTTATTACTTTAAAGTGATTATTTGAATCACTGGCCATGAGCTTGAAATTGGTTTCCAGCTCCAACTTTGTAGATTGTGTGGTTGATCTACTTGGCATGGCTTGCCCCGACCTGTATTCATTTTTCTTAACTGGCTATAAATAATAGACACTGTTCTCAAAAGGAAAATCCCAAAGATTTAGAGACTACTTTTTAGGAACTAGAGGACAAAGGCCAGCCAAGATTTTTACTATACAGTACCTTTCAAAAAAACAAAGTATTTTGAAAAATTGATCACATTTATGTTTTGGCACTGATAGCAAGAGTGTAAATCCAGGTAATCTTTTACAGTCCTATACAATTAGCTTTTAGATGAGGATTAAAATGACTACTATCCAAGCAAGATACCAGCTTGCTTTGTACTTTAGTCCTAGATTGGTATGGCTTCTCTTTAGTTACCAGTGACCTAGCTTTTTATCTGTAACATCAACCTAATAAAATCTGTGCTATCCTGGGCTGGGAAGGTGGCTCAGTGGTTGCATGCATGAGGCCCTGGGTTTGATTCCTCAGCACCACATCAGCAGAAAAAGCTATGGCTCAAGTGGTAGAGCACTCGCCTTGAGCTAGCTAAGGGACAGTGCCCAGGCCCAGAGTTCAGGCCCCATGACCAACCCCCCCCCAAAAAAAAATCTGTGCAATCTTTACACAATTCCCACTGAGTGGTTCAACTTGATTCCCAAGCTCCAGCTTTCACATTCACAGTCCAACCAGCAAGAAGAATGAAGGGAATGTACTTCTTAGTAAACTTGTATGGCTTCTCACCCACAGTAGTTACATATCAGTCACACAGTTATCCAGGAAAACTGAAAAAAATGTGGATCTTATTCCTGGTGCTCATAGACTGTAAGGATTCTTTTCCAAAACAAGAATAGGAAAAAGAAAAAGAACAGTATTTACCTTACTGTAACCAATCCTTTAGTTGTACTTTAAAGAACTTATCCTGGGCTGGGAAGGTGGCTCAGTGGTAGAGTGCTTGCCATGCATGCATGAGGCCCTGGCTTCAATTCCTCAGCACTACATAAGCAGAAAAAAAAAGCCAGAAGTGGTGCTGTGGCACAGGTGGTAGAGTGCTAGCCTTGAGCTGAAAGCTGAGGGACAACGCCCAGACCCAGAGTTCAGGCCCCACGACCAGCGAAAAAAAAAATTTAAAAATTTAAAAAATAAAGAACTTATCCTAAAAGAAACATGAAATATAAAGGCAAGCTACAATAATAATAGTAAACATGTTTTAAAACCTATTATATGCTAGATAGTGCTGATAGTCACTAACCAGTGTCATCAGTTAACTCATTTTAAATTAATTTTAATTAATTAAATTAATTGTAATTACTACTCAGATGAAAATTTTATGTTATATTTTATCACAATAATAAAATGACTGGGCTGGGAATGTGGCTCAGTGGTAGAGCGCTTGCCTTGCATGCTCGAGGCCCTGGGTTCGACTCCTCAGCACTACATAAGCAAAAAGAAAAAAGCTGGAAGTGGCGCTATGGCTCAAGTGGTACAGCGCTAGCCTTGAGCTGAAGAGCTGAGGGACAGTGCCCAGGCTCAGAGTTCAGGCCCCACGACCGGACCCCCCCAAAAAAAACAATAATAATAAAATGAAGAAGTATTTACACTATAATCCTGGGAAATAGAAGTAATTGTCATCATTTTATAAAATAGAAAACTGAAGCATAGGAAGTGAGTAATTTGCTCAGTTTCACACAAAAAGTAGTGGCAGGTAGAACTCAGATCATACCTATAACCAATCTCATACTATATCTCCTCAGAATAATTACCTCAGTACTATTCCTACTATTGAAACATTAAATATAACCTAAATACCCAGCAGTATGGCAGTAGATAAATTCATTATGGTATATATTGGCTTATTGCATAGTTATTAAAGCATACTTTTGAAAAATATTTAATGCTATGGAAGAAACTATGCAATACAAAAAAAAAGGACACCAAAGTAGAAAGCATGAGTAGTATAGTTTCATTTCTGTTAAAAATTAAGCCGAATGCTGGTGGTTTAAACCTGTAATCCTAGATACTCAAGAGGCTGAGATCTGAAGGTAGATTTTCGAAGCCAGCCTGGACAGATAAATCTGTGAGTTCTTTTCTCCAGTTATCCAACAAAAAGCCAGAAATGGATATGTGGCTCAAGTGGTAGAGCATCAACTTTGAGTGAAAAAGCCAAGCAAGAGCATAAAACCCTGAGTTTAAAACACAGTACCACACCCCTCAAAATTAAAATGAGTAAAAATACATTTATCATATTAGCATTCTAGATTGTTGCATACTCTTTACTATTTCTGTTTTCTAATTTTGTTAGCAGAAATATATAAAAACGGTGTGTTTCCATTAGTAAGCTAGTATTTAAATTATTGTAACTCCATCCAATGGAATATTATATAGCTGATAACATGTTAAAATGTGTAACATGATAAAAAAGAATGGACAAATTTGAAAATTTGAATGAAATGAGATACACAATTGTATGTATGATAGATGCCAATTAGATTTTTAAAGTATACCTATTACATAGATACTTTATTCATTTACCAAATAATTGTTTGATACCGATTAATTCTAGTATTGGTTACCATGACACAAGTAGACACTAGGGTTGAAATGCAGTTGAAAGCACCATGATGAAGAAAATATAAAAACATCCAAAAAGAATTATTTAAGACTGTTTTGGTGTTAAGTAAAGCTTCTCTAAGGAGAAGATTTAAATTCTGAAAGGTGAGGTGAGGTGAAATAAGAGAAGTGCAGAATGGTTTTGGAGTCCAGGAAGCAAGAGAAAGCAATACATAGAGGAATTCAATTAAAAATCAGTACCCATAGTAATATTGTGAGGAGAGTAGTCAAGAGATGAAACAGGAAACAAAATTATTAAGACATTGTGCAGTTGTGTTAAGTATTACAATTTTAGAAAGTAGATTCTAAAGAGAGAATACATTCAAGTCTGTATTTGAGAAAATCTGTGCAATAGGAAGGACGGGCTAGAGGAAAACAAGGCTAGAAAGAGGGAGAGCTGCTAACAAGACCTTAGTAAGTATGCAGTGATGATGTTGCTGCAAGAGCAAAGAAAAGTGGGCAGATCCATTGGATCTTGGGATAGGAAGATAGGTCAGATGGGTAGATTTATGAAATTGAATTTATTGAAATTGAATGATTTCTTATAAAATCCCTTTTTAAGACACATTCTCTTTTTTCATCTTTATTCAGATGCTACTACTATTATTAGATTGTTATATTAAAGTATACATAATATAAACTTTTCTATTAGTGACATTTAATAGATTGACAGTATTTTTTATGCATCGTCACTGTTTAGTTCAGAACTTGTCACCCTAAAAAGAAAACCTCATATTTATTAAACAGGCAGTCATTCCACATTTTTTTCCTTCTCTAATAAGTCAACCAGTAATCCCTTTCTGTCTCTCAATATTTTTTAAAATCTGGATATTTTCTATAAGAGGAATAATACATTCTGGTATCTTGTGTTCGATCTCTTTCATCTAATATAGTGTTTTCAAGGTTATTAATACTTTGTTCCTTTTTTAGAAATGTTTTTTATTGTAAAAATAGTGTACAGAGGGGTTACAGTTACATGAGTAATGTAACAAGTACATATCCTATCGAGCATTGTTACCTCCTCCTTTGTTTTTCCCCTACCATCCCTTCCTTCCCACCTTGTTGGTAGTGGTTTTTGTGTATGTGTATGTTGGGCCTGGAGCTTGAACTCAGGGCCTAGGTGCTTTCCCTAAGCTTCTTTTGTTTAAGGCTAGCACTCTACTACCTGAGCCACAGTTCACAGCTCTACCTCCGGCTTTTTTGGTAGCTTAAAGAAGATAAGAGTCTCATGGACTTTTTTGCTAGGGTTGACTTTGAATCTCAAAACTCCTATCTCAGCCTCCCCAAGTAGCTAGGATTTCTCTCTGAACTTCTTACATAGCTTGAAGGACTAGTATTTACCACTGTGCCCATATTTTATTGGTTGCGGTGGAATCTCAATTTTTTGCCTGTACTGGTCTTGAACTTCAGTCTTCTTGGTCTCTTCCTCCTGAACAGCTAGGATTACAGGTGTGAGCTAACTAGGTTTTTTCTTTTTTCCTTTTTCTTTTTGGTGGTACCTCTCCTGGGGCTTGAACTCTGGTCCTTGGCACTGTCCCTTAGTTTTTGTGCTCAAAGCTGGTGCTCTACTACTTGAACCACAGCTCCACTTCTGGCTCTTTGATGTTTAATTGGAGATAAGATCCTCATGGACTTTCCTGCCCCAGCTGGCTTTGATCTTCAGATCTCAGCCTCCTGAGTAGCTATGTTTACTCACATGAGTCACTGACACCCAGCTCAACCTAGCTTTCTTAACTATTTAAAGGCTGATAGGTAGAAACCATAACCAAAAGGAAGATAGAGATTGAATTATAAGCAAGAGGATTGATAATAAATAGAATAGAGTATTAGAGAAGATTGGGAAAGAATGAATTGAGCACACAGGTAGCAGAATGAACCTTGTATACAAGAAGAGCTGAGTAGTGTAATAAGGAAAAAGGACATGAGTGTTAATTGTATGCTTGAATATTATGGAAATTCTTACCTGGTAACAAGACTTTCTGATACAAAATGTAGAGAATAGATGAGGTTTGAGGAGAAGGAAAGAATTAAAGTAGTCCCTAATGAGATTTTAAAAAAAGAAAAGAAAAGCTACTGGTTGGGAACACAATAGCTGTTCTTTTTTAACAGCTTTGAGAGTGGAGATTGGAAACTTTATTAATAGCAGCACCAGTTTGTGGGGGTTTTAAGTTTGTTTCAGTTCTTTTGCTCTCTCAGTACTTAAATGGTCAGTATATATGGCCAAAAAAGAAGTAGATGAATTGACCTTTGGTTAGACTAATCTTGGATTGAGATTTTCTTTTTTAACCACTGAGAAATAATGAGGAAAGACAAAGTTGAGAATAATTTTGTGGCTTATTAAAGCAATAAGCCACAAAATCTAATTCTAAATAGAAAATGTAATTGATTAAAGAAAGGGCCAACCCCAAAGAAACATAGGTCCCATGGTTTCCCTTATTTGCAATATCTAGTATATGTATGAGTCAAGCAGAAAAGGTCAGATAATGTGCTGTCAGGAAAATGAACCCTTAGATATGTATTTTAATGTTTTTTTCTTTCATGCATGTGTTTCTAACGCATTTATAAGATTATCTCTTTGTTGCTTTGTATGTCCCTCCCCCACAGTATAACCTCTGCTTTCACTATATTTGATGTCAGTATAACTTGTGGAGGAGATGGGGAAAAACCAGTTGTTTAAGGATACAGGTGGACCTGTTGCAACAATGAGAAGTACAAGTTGTCATGTCCAAAATGAGCTTTACGTCGGTGCGGGGTGGGGGGTGGGCGGGGGGGGGGGGAAGGAGAAGGATTGGGATTGGGGGGGAGGGGGGAGGCTAGGAAGGGATGTGAAGGGTAAACAAAGGAGGAGGCTGCAATGCTTGGTAAGAAATGTATGCATTATCCTGCCCATGTAATTGTAACCCCTCTGTACAGTATGTTCACAAATAAAATTAAATTAAATTAAAAAAAAAAGAAAGGGCCAACCACAAAATCTCAAGTAAAGAGGAGGAGAGTCCCAATAATAAAGTTGATGATGTTAGCAGAAGAAAGCTTAAGTAAACATTAGTAGGTGAAAACAGCCATGTTCATTTTGAAGTCTCCGCACTCAGTAGGAGAATAGATCCAGGACTAATGGGCTATGACTGGAATAGAGAGACAGTGTGAAGGGATACTTAAGAGTTTCATCAAGAAGTGCTACTGTGTTGTGGTAAGGACTCAAATGTAGAGTTTCATCAAGAAGTGCTGCTGTGTTGTGGTAAAGACTCAAATGTAACAGTGGGGAAAAAGAAAGAAGTATGGAAGAAAACATCTTCATTCCCTTTTTCTGCCCTCCTCTGAATTAGGTGCATTCTGTCTATGAAGTGTATCACAGCTTTATCATACAATACTGTATGTATCTTTCTGACTTGAACTTTACTAGACTCGTGGTTGGTGTAAATAGCTAATTCTTACTGTTTTAAAATTAAATATTAAAAACTGGTTATTTCTAGGTAGAATTGTTCTATTTTTTAAGTCTTCTATAATGGGTACTATTCTGTTAACTAGAAATAGTCTAAAATGTCTCCCTTCCAACCTTTCACATACCCTTTGTATCTTTCTCTGGACAGTATAAGGATAAAAGAAACAAAGAATTGGAGGGAATGAGGAAGTAGAGGGATGGGTACATACAAGCAAGCTTTTATAAATATTATCCATGCAATTTGGCTGATGTCCACATGTATTCTTAGAAACAAATAGGCACTTAATGCTGCCTTTTGGCAGGTTTTTAATATCTTCTCTCATTTTTAATTTTCTTGCCTTTTTAGTGATAGTAAGTTATACTTGATGTTTGTATAGCTAGGCTTGCAGTGAAAGAGCATCAGAAGTCATCCCTCTAATTTTATTTTTTTAAATCATTTATTATATGGAAAAGTCATAATGCAAAATAGAGTGCAATAGGTTATCAAAGATAGCTGACTATTAGATAGCTTATACACAGATAATGGAAAGAAAGTTTTGTCAGTCCTATTTTGGACATACCTCTAACTAAATGAAGGCTTTAAAATGGAGTGAAAGTTGGAGAGTCAAAAGAAATAATTACAAGAAAACATTGTATTTACTTTGTTTTCTACATAGTTTTTTTTTATTTCAATAGTGGTTGGATGTTTATTTTGTTATGGATCTTACATAAAATATCTTTTTTATCTTGTTGTGGTTATTTAAATCTTTCAGCTAATGAGTAAAGAATCTCCCGTGTCTTCTGGAAATGATGCCTATGTTGACCTTGATCGCCAGGTATATAATTTTTCATTGCCTTTATTCACACAAATGCCTTCAAGGGATAATCTGCATATATGTTAGAACAATGCTTCAGTTAAAAGTTTCTCTGGAATATATTGGGTTTTTTTTGTTGTTGTTGTTGGTTGTGGGGCTTGAACTCGGCCTGGGCGCTGTCCCTCAGCTCTTCAGCTCAAGGTGAGCGCTCTACCACTTGAGCTACAGCGCCATTTCCGGTTTTCTGGTGGTTTACTGGAGATAGGAGTCTCACGGTCTCTCCTGCCCGGGCTGGCTTTGAACTGCGATCCTCAGATCTCAGCCTCCTGAGTAGCTAGGATTACAGGTGTGAGCCACCAGCGCCCGGCTTATATTGGTATTTTTTAATTTTACCTAAAATTTAAGAACTTGAAGTTACTTTGTTAATAGACACTCATAATTTGGTTTATAAAAGTCTGTAATTATATGCATTTATAATTGATGTCATGACATTAGTTCTCTTAACTTACTATCATTCTTGTTATCTAGTTATTTTCTTTTTCCATTAGTAATACCTCTGTGTACACTTAAACACAATAAATTTATGGAAAATTGCATGCATTTACTGTTATGGCTTATTATACACATATTTTTTCTTTCAAATCATTTTATTCTTCAATTAAAGATGTTGCCTGTATCTTTTCATCTGTGAGGTAATGATGAATCTGTCAGAAAATTAAATGTTCTGAAGGAATGTTTGTATTTTTATAATTTCAATGGGAAAGTTATTTTATAGTTTATCACTTGATAAAAATGCTATTAAGAACACTGTTGGTTTTCAGGTTTGCACTATTCTGGGACATGTTTGAAAGAATGAACAGAAATGAACAAACAGAAACTTTTGTGGGGTTTTTTTATAACATTTTAATAGCAAACTTACAGAAAGCACAGAAGACAGGCAACATTAAAAATATGTACTTGCATGTAGGACAACTCAGAAAAATGGAGTGAACAGATGGAATCTACTGTATGATAAAAATGCTACAAACACCATTTAGTTGCCATCAATAAGAAATTTACTTTTTTTTTAAATCCAAATGCTGGCATTGTCCAGAAAAATTTAACAGGTTTACTTATAGTTGTTATAAAGTTGAACTAATGAAACTTTTATCACTGAAAACATTTTGACTTGCATTAATGCATTATATCCCCACAGTTATATTAAAAATTTACACATAAATGAAAATGGAAAAACTACCAATACCTGATTTCTGTCCCCTATTTTTCCACTGGCTATCATATACTTAGGTACCTTTTGACCCCATGGGGAAAAAAATCTAACATTCAGAACTACTGATAACAAGAAAAGGGAGGGGGACTTTGAGGATGAAATGCCTCCCATTTTAGTTGGTTCTTAAGCACATTCTCCACATATGCTGTGCGCTAGCTGGATAGCTTTTGGCATAATTGTCACAAGTTTGTCATAGATAGTACACAGATTGGTATCTTCAAAAAGGCCAACCAGAGAGGCCTCACTTGCCTCCTGCAAAGCACCAATAGCTGCGCCTTGGAAGCGCAGGTCTGTTTTGAAGCCCTGAAAAATTTCTCACACCAGATGCTGGAAAGGGAGCTTGCAATCAGAAGTTCCGTGGACTTCTGGTAGCACCTAATTTCACGGAACGCCATAGTACCAGGCATGTAGCAATGCAGCTTCTTCATCCCTCCAGTGGAGGGCCCGCTCTTGCAGATGGCTTTTGTTGCCAGTTGTTTCCTGGGTGCTTTGCTACCGGTGGAGCCATGGCAGAGAGGCCTCACTACCCCTTTCTCCCTCAGCTGGAGCTCAGCAACGAGAGGCGGTGCTGGAGTTGGAGAGCAGCTCTGGCCATGTTTTTTGTTTTTTGTCTTCTCTCATTTCTCCCTGTTCTTCCAGGTTTTCTAAATGTCTTATAGTAAGATCTTTGCATGCTATAGAATTTTAACCCAAGCTATAATTTGTCTTTGTCTAGTGTTTAGTTTTAAATTTTTTACCTTGTATGCATTTTGATGAAAATTTATTTCAATTACTTTTCATAATTTGCTAACAGAATTTTGTGTAATGATGGCACACAACTAGGGGGTGTTGGTTAATATTAATTAAAAAACTTTAAATGTAATGCAAATTAGTATTAAAATATGATTTAAAATTTTGTGTCGAAATACACTATTCAACAATTGAAACCCTATACCTCTCTTACATGTTGTATCAAAACAAAATTTCTCATTTATTAAGAGAACCTGCATTGCTGGGAACATATAGTCCAGATAAAGAAAAATTTGTGCAAGAAAATTGGTTTGCAGAAAGAACCAAGTTCAAAGGCCAGAAAAGATAAAAGCCTTAGTGGAGGGTTTTTTGACTTTCTTCCTATGCCATCCAACAAGAAATAAAAGAGAAAAAAATACCTTAATTTTGTGTTGTACATGTATACTATAAATTGTCCTTGTTTCATATTGAAATATTTCTTGTATTTGTTTCTAACCAGTTGAAGAAAACTACAGAGGAGCTAAATGAAGCTTTGTCAGCAAAGGAAGAAATTTCTCAGAGATGCCATGAATTGGATATGCAGGTATATTATCAAATACACATATTACATTAAATACACCATATATTATGAAGTGGTATAGCTTAGCTATAATTTAATTAGACAAAAAATAAAAATCCAGCTAAGTTTCTGTTTGAGGTAGGCTGAATAAAGATATTAATTTTCTTTTAATGCAAACCCATTAAGGTAATAATAAATGAGTTAAAATGGTATAAACTCACAAAAAATTATGAGACAGGAGAAATATTAGCACAGTCTTTGTTGTGTATTTATAAAATGGGATTTCAGAGGGCTGGGGGAAAAAAGCGTATTTTTAATATTTGCTAAATACTGTTTTGCAAATGTTTTCTCAGCTTCTGCTTTCAAATTACTGATAGTTTAACAGTCAGCTTACAGAATGTGTAATGTTTAACACTCTATTCCAGCACATAGTCTTTAATAACTTCTGAAAGCCAAAGGGCAGTAAAAGAAGTAATAAATGACTAAAAGGGGCAAAGAATTCAGTGGCTAATAGCACCTATAAGGACCAAGCTGGGGTGGCAGGGAAAGAGGGGGACACTGTGATGGGAGAATTCCAGAGAGATCCAGATAGGAAAAAGGGTAAATTGAGGTTGTAGTAACTAGAGGTAGAAAATAGTCCAAGCCTTCAATTGCTACCCATGATTGACTACATAAATGTCAGTGTCATGGTTCATGGGATATCCTTAAGCCAAGATGTAATGCAATGCTAGGAGAAGCCTTGCTATTAATTTTTTTTTTATTTTTTGTCAATCCTGGAGCTTGAACTCTGGGCCTGGGCCTGGGTGCTGTACCTTAGCTCTTCAGCGCAAGGCTAGTGCTCTACCACTTAAGCCACAGCGCCACTTCTAGTTTTCTGGTGGTTTATTGGAGATCAGAGTCTCTCGGACTTTCCTGCCTGGGCTAGCTTTGAATCGCGATCCTCAGATCTCAGCCTCCTTAGTAGCTAGGATTACAGGTGTGAACCACTGGCACCTGGCTTTTTTTTTTTTTTTGTCTGCACTGGAGTTTGAACTCAAGACCTGGGCACTGTCCCTGAGTGCTTTTGCTCAAGGTTAGCACTCTGCCACTTTGTGCCACAGAGCCACTTCTGGTTTTCTGATTGCTAATTGGAGATAGGAGCATCAGACTTTCCTGCCTGGACTGACTTTGAACTACTATTCTCAGATCTCAGCCTCCTGAATAGTTAGGATTACAGGCGTGAGCCACCATCAGCACAGCACCTGGCCTAACTGATCTTAACTGTAGGGAAAACCTGTAGCATAGAGGGAATGGATACAAGTAAACAGAAAATTAGCTATGCAGATAGTAAAGAAATTTGGAGAAACTTGAGGTTTTTATTTCCAATTGGTTTAATACCTCAGTGAAGATATTGTTCTATGAAATAAAGGCATAGAATGTCAGGTTCAGTAGCTCATGCCTATAATCCCAGCTACTCAAGAGGTGGAGATGGGGAGAACTACAAATCAGGGCAAATTGGAGCAAAAACATAGTGAGTGATACACATCTCAACAAACAAGCTAGGGAAATGTATCTGTAATCCCAGATACATGGGAAGTAAAAATAGGGAGTTAGTAGTCCAAGTCTGGAACTGTCAAAATTAAAAATTTAATAGAACAGGTAAGGTTGTAAAAATATCTTAATGTTAAATAAAAAGTGAGATCTTTTGTCTAGAATTTACTTGAAAAATAAAGGAGTTTGTTAGGAAGAAATAGGAGGTAGTTTTTTTAAGGTAGAATACACATATCAATCATGCTATCCCAGAAATACGTACTATTATATGTCAGTTTATAAAAGGATTTTTTTAAAATGTCCATCTGGGAAGACTAGATTTGAGATTCCTACTAAGACATGCAAGTGGAAATGTTAGTCAGTTTATGGTTCTTGACTAGAACTGGGAATTTTGAGATGTTAGAAAATAGATTGTTTACAACCACAAAACTGGAAGCCATTCTATATGTAGACATTTCAGTAGCAAGTAAATGGAGAGGAATTAGCTGAGGAAAATAAAACATAAGACAAATAGTTCAGCAGAAACAATCAGTTTATCAAATGTTGTAGATCTTGGTGATATGGAGGTCTTTAAAAGCCCTGAGAGTAGTAGAATGGGAGGGCCATAGCTTGAATAGAACATGTTCAAGAGAAAGTGGCTAAAAAGAAAGGAGGTATAAAAACTTTTTTTTTACCTTTGTGAGACATAATTGATATATAGTAAATTACTTGTGTGTGTGTGTGTGTGTGTGTGTGTGTGTGTGTGTGTGTGTGTATGTATTTGTATGCATGTGTGCATGTGAACAGCAGTACTTGAACTCCTCAGGGTCTGGACACTGTCCTTTAGGGTTTTGTGGGGGGAGGGGGGTTGGAGTTTTTTGTGACTTTTGGGGGGTTTTTGTTTGGGGGGGGGTTTGCCAGACTTGGAACTTGAACTCAGGGCCTGAGCACTATCTCTGAACTTCTTTATGCTCAAGACTAGTGCTCTACAACTTGAGCCACAGTGCCACTTCTGGCTTTTTCTGTTTATGTGCTACTGAGGAATTGAACCTAGGGCTTCATGCATGTACTCTACCAGTAAGCCACATTCCCAGCCTGTTCCTTGAGTGTTTTTCACTCTAGGCTGGTACTCTACCATTTGAGGCAAGCTTCATTGCCAGCTTTTTTTGGTGGTTAATTGGAGGTAAGAGTCTCATGGACTTCCCTGCCCAGGCCAGCTTCGAAGTATGATCCTCAGATCTCAGCCTCCTGAGTAGCTAGGATTAACTTAAATTTAACATGCATAATTTTAATGCATTTTGATTTACAATAATGATGTGAAGCCATTGCCAATCAAGATAATTAAGCCATCAGTCTAAAAGTTCCCTTTTCGTTTTTATAATCCCCACACCAGTCCTCAGGTCTATATATTCTGTCACTATGGGTTAACTTTTTGTTTTATAGAAGCATATCAGAAGAATCATACAAGCAGTTGCTGGTTGCTAAAATCTGTAATCCTAGCTATTCAGGAGACTGAGATCTGTGGATCAGAGTTCAAAACTAGCCCCAGGCAGGAAAGTCTAAGAGACTCTTATCACCAACAAACTATAAAACAACAAAAACCTCAAGTGGAGCTATGGCTCAAGTGCTAGAACACTAGTCTTAAGCAAAAGAAACGCAAGAACAATGCCTGGTCCCTGAGTTTAAGCCCCAGGACCAGCACAAAAATACAAAGGAATCATACAGGGGCTGGGAATGTGGCTTAGTGGTAGAGTGCTTGCCTAGCATGCATGAAGCCCTAGGTTCGATTCCTCAGCACCACATAAACAGAAAAGCCAGAAATGGCACTGTGGCTCAAGTGGTAGAGTGCTAGCCTTGAGAAAAAAGAAGCTCAGTGACAGTGCTCAGGCCCTGAGTTCTGCCCCAAGTCTAGCCAAAAAAAATTTAAAAAAAATAATAATAATAAGGAATCACAACCGGGCACTAGTGGCACATGCCTGTAATCCTATTCAAGAGGCTGAATGCCCAGGCCCTGAGGTGAAGCCCAGGAACAACTAAATAAATAAGAACACAGTACATTTGCTCTATTTTTGGTTTAGTGTCTTTCTTTATTTTGAAATTCATCATGCTGTCACTCAATAGGTGATTTTCTTCAATGCCAAATGGTATTCTTTTAGAATGCACATACTGCAGTTGACATTTATTCACCAGTTGATAGATCTGAATCATTTCCAGTGTTTCCCTATTACAAGTGAAGCTGCTAAAAATCTGTGTAAGATGTGTAGGCATATGCTTTTATTTCTTTTGCGTGAATACCTAGGAAATTAATGGCTTTCAGATTTACTTTGTAGTCATATGTCTAGTATACTAAGAAATTGCTAAGCTTTTTTCCAAAGTTTTGAGATATTTTATATTCTTATCAGAGACTTAAGTTTGTACTTACCTTTGACAATACTTGGTATAGTCAGTTTGAATTTTATCCATTGTTGTGACAATATAATAACACTGATTTAAGTTTCCATTTCCTTGGTGACTAATGATAATAATCTTTCTGTATTCTTAAATATATTCTTTGATGAAGTATCTTTTCAAATATGGAATAAAACCAGATGTAGTCCTTGGGAGTCCTTGCCTACTTGGGAGACTGAGGCAGGAAGATAGAATGGGCCTAGGAGTTTGAGGTGCCTGGGTTACATAGTAAAATTTCATCTCAAAATAAGTAAAATAATTAATCAATAAAAAGAATGAATTCTTACTTTTTTATATTGTTCTACATGTGCAATATTCTAATGTAAATATTTTAAGTAGAGATTGATTGAACGCCCTTGAAAATAGTCTTTAATTATGTTAACTCGTGAGAACTTGAGCTGATACCAGGGTAATTAGAGGAAATAACTGCTGTTTTCTCATATTCTATCAGGTTGCAGCATTGCAAGAGGAGAAGAGTAGTTTGTTAGCAGAGAATCAGATATTAATGGAAAGACTCAATCAATCTGATTCTATAGAAGATCCCAATAGTCCAGCAGGAAGAAGACACTTGCAGCTCCAAACTCAATTAGAGCAGCTTCAAGAAGAAACATTCAGGTAAAAGACTATTCATTAAGATCTTAATTTTTTTAACTTGGTAAATGTTATTTAACGTTAAGAATATGGTATAAGGGGGGTTGGGAAGGTGGCTTAGTGGTAGAGCGCTTGACTTGCATGCCTGAGGCCCTGGGTTCGATTCCTCAGCACCACATAAGCAAAAAGAAAAAAGCCGTAGGTGGCACTGTGGCTCAAATGGTAGAGTGCTAGCCTTGAGCTGAAGAGCTGAGGGACAGCG